CAACACTATGCGCTCTAGCGCACCCTTTTGAAATGTCCCTGGAAGTTTTTTGTCCAAGGTAAAACCCTGCCAGTGTTGGTTCCAACTATAGGCAGGTTTCAAGGGAAACCGTGCTGCGAAGCCACCTAGGCGGTCACGATCTATATGAATTTCTTTCAGGTTTGGCGAGAGCCCATATACCATACGCTGAATGGCTTCCTGATGGAAGCTGTATAGCTCCTCAGAGATTTGGACATCGTAGCATGAAATTGTGAGACCATATAGACAGGGTGAGGTAACCAGTGTATAGTCATATTCGTCTAGCCTATCCCCCTCAACAATGGAGCGTAGCATGAAGTTATGCAGAAATAGTCTGCAAGATGGTATAGAGGTATGAAGGGCATCAAGCATACACGGGGGAAATTGGGTCAGGCCCAGGTAGACTAGGTCTGCTAGCTGAGGAAGGCGACGAAGAAGGTCCGCCAATGGCATCCATGAGCCGTCATCAAGGTCACAGCGATCCGATTCAGGCCATCGTTCAGTGTGATAGCGGGTGAGTGAATCAATTTCTTGGCGTTCCAAAGTATCATAACGTTTCCAGCGAAATAAAGGCCTTTGAGACAAGTCCTCGTCACTTACTTCGTCGTCGTAGATCTTTAGAGATCGCCACTCTATAGTCTCTATAATCAGGTAGCGTACAGCATCGAAGGCACCCCCGTCCCTTTCTAGCTCAAGAGTACACTTCTTTACATCGTCCTGTAGTCTCGATAAATCAACTTTAAATGCAAGGGTGTGATAGCGACCACGAGTGAGCGCCGGCTTCGAGAGATGATGACTGCGTTTGTTTGTACACGCAAAAGCGACCAGGGATGGTGGATGGCTGGTAAGCAGGTCATCGAGAATTGGAAAAATGAGCTCGGCAGGTAAGTCAAGAATGCAAGCCATGGTCAAAGAAGTGTCTCTCTTTATCAAAGCAGTTCTAGCTGTTTTGTCAAGTTTGGTGGGGGGCCTTGGGAGAAATGAATGCGGGGTTGCCGTCAAGAACCTTTGAGTACTGCGGGCCGAGTTCAAAATGTATTCCAGTCGTGTGAAATAACAGATATGTAATGTCAATATAAGCGGCCGCTATCAACATCAAGTCTGCCTCCCTGTATGAGGTTGATTGATGTAGCTTGGAGGTGTTTTTGATAAATTTAAGGATAACGAAGGTTAAGCTTGATCCAGTTAAGGTTGCGGCAAAAAGACAAAATTAAGTTGGGCACAGACCAGAATTAAATACTAATAATCACATGACTGAAATTGATTATATAATCAGATATCTCTTTTTGAGTCGCATTTGAAGTTGAGGAAAACGTCAGGGGACAGCACAAGAAGTCTACACCTCCGGCCAGGGGACAAGACAGTGGGGATATAAACATGCGCCTTGCTCATTTGCATATACCGAATATTATACCATTTAGACAGGCTTCACTTCTGCAGCAGATACTCGTCTCACGCCTGCTCACCCATAAAAGGAAACAGTCTGAATCTCCAGCTCTGTTTCCACCTACATCCGCCCCAGACCCTACGATCTTAACCTTCACTCCTCGCCCCGTATATACGACTGGGAGACGCGACCTACCTGCATCATGCTCGCCGAACGATGAGTCATCAAACACCTTCGCTACCAAGGCATCGGACCTTTCCCTTCCCACCCCCCTCGAACCGATTCGTAATATCCTAACGCCGACTTCTTCTCCTACCAATGCCGCCCAACATCTAGCTGAATATTATCCTACTCTACGTGGTGGGCAAACTACATACCATGGCCCCGGCCAGCTAGTTATATATACCATACTGGATCTCCGGGCTTTACGTATCGGGCCGAGATGTCACATCAGGCTACTTGAAAACAGTGTACTCGATGTGTTAAAAGGGTTTGGTGTGAAAGGTGGAACAACTACTGAAGATCCGGGTGTATGGGTGAAGCCTGATGTCGGGAACAGCGGTATGCCTCGCAAAGTTGCCGCGGTTGGTGTGCATTTGCGACGGTTCGTGAGCAGTTATGGCGTCGGATTCTGCATCACTGAGGAACCACTATGGTATCTGCGGCAGATAGTTGCGTGTGGGCTTGAGGGCAAAGAATCTACGAGTCTAGAGGGTGTGGGTGTGAATGTAGGAGATGTAACGATGGAGGAGGTTGGTACGCGGTTTGTCCAGGCGTTTGTCGACCGGGTGAATTCCGGAGGCCCTAGTGGTGGTCAGGGCCCCAGGCTGGACGAGGTATATAGGATCCAAGAGGAGGACGTACTTGGTTAGTATTGTGCTTTGTTTGATACCCCCTGTTCATTTGCATAAATTCTCCGTTCAGACACGGAATGAAAAATCTAAGGTAGAAAGGGAAGATGTAGATAAAGTGTAGATATAGAGGTGTGAGATATGAGAGTATTTCCAGATAAAAGAGCATATAACACAGACATCAGCCATCATGCGTCAACTGGGTCGTCTCTAGATAACATGAGATGGTGTTTCAGTTGCATTGCATGGACAAATTGATATCCAGAAAGGTAAATGTTCCAGGGAAGGGAAGAGAACAGAATGAATTCAAAGTAAAAAGGAGAAAGGTCATAATACGGAAAAAGACAGGGACAAAGCAGGCCATCCAGCTAGACGATGGAGGGTATAAATAGTTATATACAGAGGGTATCTTAAGAGACACCATCACATTCGTAGAAAGCGGTAGCAAATGAATGTCTTCAGAGACATTGCAGGGTTCCACATTTGCGCCCGGGAAAAGAATTAGAAACATCAAACATTAAAGGCAGGATAGGCGGATTGTCCAGTAGCAGAAGTAGAAGTAGACGACAAGATAATACAGAGAAGAGGCGAAAGCGAAGAGGATAAACAGCTCGAGCATGAAGAAAGACGAGACAAAAAGAAACTCGTAAGAAAAATGTTGAGGGTACGGATCCTACTGGATCACGCATTTGCCGCTTCTATCAGATGCCTTCGCTGGTTTTACCGAGAGAGCGACTCGGGCTGCTTCAGTAAAGGCCTCGTTGACTCCGCGATTTCTCATAGCCGAGCATTCTATCTCCAGTCAGTACTTGAGCTCTCTGTATCAAGGTCGAGTAAACGCACCTAGGTATCGTAGAGCATTTATTCTTTTTGCAACTTCGAGGCCTTCGCTGTAGGTAATGACTGGCTTTGGCTGTTGTTGGGTGTTGCTGCCATCATCTTTTTCATCACTGGCTTCTTCTCGAAGGTCACATTTCAGCGCAACGACCACGATCTTTGCGCCAGGGCAGTTCTCGCCAATTTCAGCTAGCCATTTCGACTCGACATTCTCGAGGGAATCTTTACTATCAACCTATGCGCACGTAAACATTAGCTATCATCCTTGGTAGGTACAACTGGCTCTCGTTGAGTCTGTAACATACACTGAAACAGAGCATTATAGCTTGGGTGTCATCGTATGATAGAGCACGGAGGCGGTCGAATTCCTCTTGTCCGGCCGTATCCCAGAGGGATAGCTCCATATGGATGTTGTCAACATATATATCTGTTTGTCATCTCGTAAGCGTCTTTCTTTCTTGATCGTGAGGCGGCGAGAGAGGTCTACCATGGACATAGTTCTCTATATAAGAGATATTTCGTATTAGCGTATATACTCCTAAATGGTTTCGACATCAAGTCCAGACATACCAAATACAGTGGGTTCACTTTAAGGGGGACAATATGTTAGCAACGGTAAAAAAACGCAGAGCTCGGAGGAATAGCATACTAGACGGTGGGAAAAAATCTAGGGTAATGTTAGCCGATATAAGCTTAGAATTTTCTCTCGTCTCATTCGAAGCAGGTATTTTCTTATACTCACCCTCTGGTAAAGACGTTTAGCAACGAAGTCTTGCCGCATGCACCGTCTCCTCTAAATATCGCCACCACGTCAGTCCAGCTATTTAATCCTCACAGCGTCCCGATCAGCTCCAACTCACAGGAGCACCAGCTTGCGCTTCTCGGTCTTCTCTCCTCCACAGAGAGGCATCCTGGAAACCGTTCAGTCGGAGCTTGAGCAACAAATCACACAGGCTGCGAGAACGTTGAAATGTATGCACCCCAGGATCCAAAGCGAAGAATGTGGGGAGCACAACGAGCGGCGATACGAGCGAGATCGAGACGAGGCAACGGCTCGCAAAAGAGAACCAGACGGGCTGGAGATAAGTAGTTAAGTCTTGTAAATGCAAACGGTCGAGTCGATGCTAGCGGGATAGGATTCCAATCAGGGGTAAAATACACGGGATCGTCCGGATAAGGCTGGAGAAGACGGAAAACAAGCTGGACTTTCAAGTAACCCTGGCGACTCGAAGCCGGATAAAATATTTCAATGCTCTCGCTGCCAATAGATCGTCGAGAAGAAGAAGAGAAGTAGAAGGGAAGAAGAAGAAATGGAGCAGAATAAGTGGAGGGCCCGGGAGAAGCGCAGGACTATCGATGATGTTGTCCAAGAAAATCAGTCGATTCCATCTGCCGCGGCCGGGATCAGGGATACTAAGGTGCTCGTATTATTGACTGCCCCGTGACGAGAGGAGGAGGAAGCCCTAGCAAAACTAGCAAAAGCGAATTACTGCTTGTGTTGGCCGATGGAAGATGAAGCTGAGAGGTGGGTGTTTGAGTATGTGGAGCTTTTTTTTTTTTTTCAAGGTAGACAGTGTTGTAGTTATGTATATTCCTCAGCAGGGTGAGCCCCAACGGCGAGGAGGCGAAATATTTGAACGGCAAAAGAGTTTTACAGCAAGAAGTTCTGCAGAGCCCAGAATTCTTCATGTCTATTTATAACTGGTGACGTTTCTGCAGGAAAGGAGAGATAAGGAATTCAAACCTTGACCTGCAGGAACGGCGCAGCCAGAGATCCTTGGATGGATTTCGACTTCGGGTCTGGTCGTTTGGTGGCCGTTATTATTAAGGAACGGGACCGCAAGTCCAAGAGAGGAACTTGACCTGTCAGCGTGACGATCGAAAGCCTCGTCTTGTGTTGGCATGACATGGCGCTTGTTGCGCAGGTACAAGGCCTCCTGTTGGCCTGGATCGCGAGTGGCGTAGCGGATGCAGCGGCCGGGGTCAGAAAGAAGAAAACATGGGCTGACGAAGGACCAAAAGAAGATGGAGCAGAGGAAGAGCAATGTCTGTTGTCAATCAATGTTATTGTTGTCCATGGTATTCCATATTTGATATCCGTAATGCTAGAACCAGAATATGTATGCTGACGCCCAAATGCATAATCCCGAGCCAAAAGAAAACAAATCAATGCCAAAAATAAGAAAGACAAAATAAAATAAAATAAATAACCCTTGTCGTGATCAGTAAGCTTCCTGTTCCTTTTCGAGGTTCTTCTTGCCTCGCTGCAGTCGATCTGCTAGATCGATGTCTCCCGCCTTTCGGTGGATATTGTTGACAAAGGCCCCCCGTCCGCCGTATTTGCTCGACTCTGCTCTAGCTGCCTCTTCTGCCTCTCTCTCTGCCTTGTCGCGTTCCTCTGCTGCGTTGATACGTCGCGTGCGCTCTTCATCGAGCTCATTTGCGTTTTGCTGCATGGCTGCAAGGCGTGCTGCGCGCTCTCGTTCTAGATCTGCAGACGATGGCTGGGGAGGACGGCTTTGATGGATCTCTGGCTTGGGCCGGCGCGGGCCAGTAGACCGGTGACTTCGATAACTGCTAGTATGTCTCCTTGAGGACTCTTCTTCTTCACGGCGTCTATACGGGGATCGCGACCTGTCCCTGTCTCTATCCCTTTGACGTGGTGAAAAGGACCGCTTTCGTCGATGAGGTGAAGGTGATCGGTATGACCTTCGTGATGATTGTGGTGGTGGTGAACGGCTGTGGGAGGCGCTACGCGAACGATCCCTGCGATGATGTCTGCTCCGCCGGTCATCTTCATCATGATGTCTCCTCGACCGACGACTCGACCGTCTCTCATCGTCTCGATCACGATCTCTGTCACGGTCACGGTCACGGTCACGGTCACGGTCACGGTCACGCTCGTCTCTGTGTCGGTGTCGTCGAAGTCTTCTCTCCTTCTCTGTATGAGCCGTTGACCTGTCCTCGTCCATTCCGGCAGCCTTCAGCAACGCCCTCCGCCGAGCTGGGTCATTCATCATAGCCTCATATGCAGCCTGTTCTTGCTTCTTGATGGCCAACATGGGGTCCTCCCTGATCTTCGCCGCTGTATCCCGCGCAGTGTTCGCATTCTGAGCCAGCATAAACGATTCCTCGGGCGCAGCCTTCTCCAGCTTCGAGTTCTCTGACCCCTTAAGCAGCCCGTCGATTCGCCTTCTGCCTAGGAGGTATCCTTCCATCTCCTCTGTCGTGCCAGTCTGTCCCGCAGCTGGACCAGAGTACATCCAGTCGACTCGGTTCAGCCGTTTCTTGCCGCCAGCGGCCTCCTGCATCTCCTGTAGCTCTTGTATCTGCCTCTCTTCCTGGCGCTCTTTCATCATCTGGTCGATCCGCTTGCGCTCCTCGAGCGCTTTCTTCTGCTCGACCCATACTCGCTCCTGGTTCTTGAGCAGCACTGGATGCCAGCTCTTCTTCACGTTAAGGTCGCCTCCCATCTTGACTCTCGTATCTCGTCCTTTTGCTCTTCTTTTCCTTCTGTCCTCCCTTCGTTTTCCCTCCGGTTGATGTTTTGCCTTCGTCAAAATAGAAATAAAAAACATAAAAAGCTAAAAAGAGGATGAGTCTTGGCGGTGACTAAATATTATCACGTGAGTTATTATGTAATGGCTGATGTAATATTGCACCGATGATCTCATAATTACCTAATCAACATCTTTATTGTCAATAACAGCGATCAACATCAACTTTGGAGCAAAACGTCAATCGTCAGAATTGAAGACATACAAGACTACATGTTACTGCTCCTTCGTTTCTTTCTACTTGTTACTCTCGTTTGAAAGGACAAATACGTTGCTGCTTAATTAACCCATCGACTTTTTACCCGCCACCATGTCGGATGATGATGACTTTATGCAGGACTCCGATCAGGAGGAGTGAGCTATCCATTGCACCCCTCGTGTGCGTACGAATATAACTAACTGAGACCGCCAATAGGTATGACTTCGAGTACCAGGATGAAGATGACGATGATTCTGGCGATATCGGCATCGAGAACAAATATTATAATGCGAAGCAAATAAAGGTCGACAATCCAGAGGAGGCGATAGAAGAGTTCCTAGGGATCCCCCCGCTGGAGCAAGATAAAGGTGACTGGTAAGGTTATCATTGCTTTTCTTTCCCTTATGCTCTCTACTTTTATGTAGATACATTGTTAACCGTATTCAAGGGGATTCAAGGGACTAAAACAGGCCATCAAACTGGAATTTCGGCTCGGTCGATACGACGACGTACGTCTTCCCACAAAATTCCAATAATATCACCTCTAGGAATCTGGCACATTAACACTACCATGGTTAATAGGCGATTACCCATTATAAAGAGCTCCTCACCTATGTCAAGTCGGCCGTTACTCGAAACTACTCGGAGAAGTCGATCAACAACATGCTAGACTACATTGAAAAGTCATCCGATGACGTAACGGCATACCATTGCATGGAGGAGTTCTATTCGTTGACACTTGAATCGTTCCAGAATACCAACAATGAACGTCTCTGGCTGAAGACAAACATAAAGCTTGCAAAGCTTTGGTTGGATAAGAAGGAATATGCACAACTTAGCAGGAAGCTTAAAGAGCTCCACAAGGCCTGCCAACGGTCAGACGGAACTGATGATCCATCCAAGGGAACCTATTCGCTGGAGATATACGCCTTGGAGATCCAAATGTATGCCAATACCAAGAATAATAAGAGGCTGAAGGCGCTATACCAAAGGGCGCTTAAAGTTAGGTCTGCTGTTCCGCATCCAAAAATCATGGGTATTATACGTGAGTGCGGCGGCAAAATGCATATGAGCGAAGAGAATTGGAAGGAAGCTCACAGCGACTTTTTCGAATCGTTCCGCAACTACGACGAAGCCGGATCGATGCAACGCATCCAGGTGTTGAAGTATATGGTTCTAGCCACCATGCTGATGAAGTCAGACATCAACCCGTTCGACTCACAAGAGACGAAGCCATATAAAGATGATCCTCGAGTTTCTGGCATGACTGACCTTGTAGATGCCTTCCAGCGCGATGACATCCATGCCTACGAGGCAGTCCTCCGGAACAAACCAGATCTTTTAGAGGACCATTTCATCGCTGAAAACATCGGTGAAGTCAGCCGTAACATGCGCACCAAGGCCGTTATGAAACTCATCCAGCCCTACACTCGCTTCACCCTTGCATTTGTCTCCAAGAAGCTCAAGATCTCGGTTGCAGAAGTCCAAGACATCCTCAGTTTCCTGATTCTCGATGGAGAGCTCGCTGATGCAAAAATAAATGAAGAAGATGGCATTGTGGAAATCACCCGAAGGTGCGATATCGACAAGGAGCGCTCCAACGCCCTGCTATTATGGAACAATAATCTTAGAATGCTCTATGATTCAACCTTTAGCCAGGCCGAGGGATTTAGGCCCGAAAATGTCCACAACATGCACCCCTTGATGGGAGGTTTTGGTGGAATGAGGTACGCCAATCTTTATTCCCATGAATCGGCAATATCGGGCACGAACTTTGGAATGGGAGATAGATCATTCAAGTATCCTAAAGGGAAAACGGGTCGATCTTCCTGGGGCAAGCTTACGTCTTAAAACTAATGAGTTCTTTTGGAGTTTGCGATGGGGTGTTTTATATTGTTACGACTGATGAAAAGCAAGTGACTCACGTTCTCTGTCTGTTGACTATTAGATAGCTGGGTATGAAAGTGCCGTCCTACCTTAATATCAAAGACCACATTCCGTGCCACAGTATACTTCTTTTCATCATCCTTCGGTGTCTCTTCATATTATCTTCAAGTCATCGTCCTTTGTATGCTATATGAAAATCTATGACGTCGACTTCTATCCAAGGCGCAGCAGCGCTTGGCGGTTGATCTTCTCCAGCCTCCTCTCCAGTCGCCAAATCACGGTCGGCTTTTGGCTTCGTCACCCGCCGTTCATGGAGCTGTTTTGCATTGCTCGTGTTAAGATGAATATGCTTGGTCGATACGACGCCTTTCACGAATACCAACCATGTCATGTTCTATAAAGACCCGCTGAGCGCCCATCATAAGAATCCTACGGAGTACACGGCGGCATAGGCCAGGAAGCCAGCCTTCCACCATTATACTCGATGAGATATATATATCAGCTTAGCGGCCCGCTTTCCAGATGGTAAGATTATTGCATGAAGACGGGCAATATCATAACTTCTTCCTGATATAATATAATAAACCCTTGAACATGGCGGAGTCGAAAATCCCCAGCCTCCAGCAGCGACCGTGCGGATATCTCAGAGCCTTGAACGTAGGGAAATGGTTCCTCGTACCGATAGCAGCGTTATGCGGTCTTCTCTGGGTCTTCGTAATTGCTGCCAGCATTTTCTCTGCTGTTTATGAGAAGAACGCAAGCTCTCGTGATGATTATCCCCCAATTCGATGGAAAGATACGCTGGAAGACTGCGACCCGTTAGTATTTCTAGCTGCCCGGCTCCTTAGTTACAAAGTGAATAGGAAACTAACCATGAACTTCTGCCTTAGAGGACAAATAATATGGCTGTTTATTCCCATTGCGATTGAGACATTTCATGTTCCAATTCAGCTATGGCTGTATGCCAGGAATCTACTACATCCCATCGCTGCCCTGGTGCTATCGTTCTGCTTCATGGGGTTGTGGGTGTCTTTCTCCGTCCTTGCTCCGTTGATCGATGCCTGCGTCGAGCAGAAATTCCCAGCTGCATGGTACGGCTTATTCTGGGCTCGACAGGTGACTGGATACCTGATCACACTGCTATACCTGGCTTACTTCGGATCCTCCTGTGCCGCAGTCCATCACTGGAGGTTGGGCAAGAAGGCGGTGGACGGGACCTCAAGTGACGGTGATATCGAAATGAAGGCGTGAATTTTCTGGCCTACTGATTCGACATGTCCATCGTCCTGATGACCAAGGAACAGTGCACAATCCAATTTAATGGGCGGGGAAGAAGGAGATGTTGTGGAATATACACGACAGACGGGCGAGTGCTGGATGACACGCCTTGCAGGAAGCCAGAGAAGCCATCCTCACACCTATGTTGTCAGGGGAGCTGAAGGATGCGTGTACATATTGAATGTAATGTCTAATGAAAGGATGTATTAGTTTTTCTGATAGCTTTGGCATTTGTACCAGATACCGACCCGTCTTCGGGTCGGGACAGATTGAACGATATACCCACCATCCCATACTCGCTTACGCGCAGCTGGCCCTAATCATACTGCTAGCTGCACGACCCTGGCGGCGCCCGTTGGCTCTCTGGAGAAAGCAAACGAACGGCATGCATGTACGTATGTACGTAGAAATGTGTATGTACCTGCAAGTTAAACGAGGTACGTACCCGGACGGCTAATGATATACGGCGCACAAGCAGCCGGAGGTCAAGGTACAATAGCCATATACTCGGTAAGAAGGGGCGAAAAATATTCAAAAACAGGCGGTGGTTCAACGCCACTCATGTACGTACCCGTCAAGTCGCTGTCGTGGCATGCATGCATGCTGCTAGTACCCGTGGACATTCCAGCAAACGGCCCTAACCAACATACCAATATCCGACCCGGTATGTTCAAACATGACATGTACATCCATACATGATCAATCGTTTAGAACCTTAACTATCCGAATTGGGGAAAGAGCCATAATCCATTTTTTCCCCTTACATGCATCGTCTATGGGGCGGCCGTATGTATCCCACCAATGCGTGCCATCTGAATGACGGTCAGGAAGAGAGACAATGAGGCGAAGGAAAGAGGTACATCCGATACCTCTGATAATACCCATTCAACCCCCTTTTTATCCTAGGGTACTTGCATTTGTATCCACTGATTTTTCTATCTGCTGTGCTACTCTGATACGCAGCAGAGAGGTATTTTGCTTTTTCACCTTATTTTGTCCTTTTCTAGTCTCTCCTCTTCGTTTCTTTTATCTGCTGTCCTTGACGGGTTAAATAAACTTCGATATCAATGTGCGGAGCACCGGTGCGCCCGCCTTTAGCGCCAACGAAGAGAGTGAAACAATTTAGCAGCTCATCGGTTAGCTGCCGCTTTGCAATGGATAGAATACGGAGTACCAAAGTTCCGAAATGGGGCTGGGTCATACCTCCTGGAGTAAGTAAGGTACAGGTCCAGCACGAGGGGCGCCGAAAACCATTCCATTGTAAGATGTGACGTTCCTCAACCAACTACCAAAACATGGAGAGAAGACTTCATGGATACCGGGGCGCATTCACTTGGTACAAACCATTATCCGCTTCAAGAGGATGGTCGCACAACTGAAGGCGATCGGTCCGGTTGGATATTCGTATAAGCTCAATGACGATTATATTGTCCGATATAATCAGAATTTGAGGTACACGCTTGTGCATGCATGCATAATGTATAGGAAAATTCCGCTGGTCATGATGGGGAATTTGTCTTGTGTGACTCCAGGGCAACACCTTCGTACATGCAATATTTGATTTTTTCCATTGCATCCATTTTTCGTGGCACAGCTATTCTCCAGACGTCATTGCTATTCCCTGTATCTTTTTTAGGAATATGAAGACTAGGACTGGCCCTGTAACACACCCGCAAACTAGACATGCAGCCGGGTATAGCTCGGACAGCAAAAGCTAATCCCCTGAGTCATACTCCATGTATGATGAAACCAAGCCTTTGACCAACAGGTATTTCCCATGAGGCTCTTTTTCTTTTTCCCATTCGTTTTATTCTCCCTCCTATACGGCCAGGAACGATTCTCCAGGTCAGATTCTTCAATGACTGGCAGTTTCAGCATTTCGTGTTTGTGAGCAATGGTATCAACGCTAAAGAACGGGACCCTCAGTTTCCCAATCCGCTAGTGCGTGCAGAGCTGAAGAAGGTATCTTGCAAGTTCCTGCTCCCCTGATGGGTCCTAATTCCCGTACTCTGACACCGGCTACCTGTGTAGCAGCTTTTTCTTTTTTGATTTATGAGCTGCAACATGGCGGTCAAGGCTTGGCCGCCATCGGCTATAGCTTCAATGGACACTACTCCGCAATTTTAATAGCAGTCGGCTCATCATCCCGATAAGGCGGAGGTTGGGAATATGCATCAGGACCAACACCGGCACAGTATGCTTGCCCGTTCGTACTCGAGCTCTTGTGCAACCCCAGAATAGAGCCACTTATTGCCTCGTATTAAGCTAGCTTGAAGATGGAAGATGATGCGCAATGCCGATAAAATATGCAATCTCCATCATCGGATCAGCAACAAGGTATTATTTGCCAAAAACAGTGCCACTAGGGAACTAGCAGGAGTTCCTGGAGACAACGGGCTGTGGAGAAAAGAGTTTTTTTTTCCCACTTTTTTTCCCTTCTAGACACTATGATTGTAGAAAAGCTTCTGTCTTTGGACAGCTAGCTCCTCGTCCTTGACGCATGTCACAGGACAGAATATCCTGTAATGGCCCGGCATGGGGGAAAAAAGGAGGGGATGATCCTGTAAGTTGATATGCGGGATACTCCTGCACCGATGTGATGACGGTACACCCATAAGTAGGTAACGAATGCGATTTGGGCTGGGAACGCCCGAGGAGTATTGGCATTTCATGCAGCAGGCAGGATGCTTCGTTGTGTTTGTATAGTAATAATAGCACTATTACTATTATTGATGTCTGCAAGAGAGAGTGAAAAAAGAAAAAGTGGCAGGAAAAGAGGTCCTGTGCCAAGGAGAGGTTTGACAAATGATATCAACCTGCGCCGGGGGTCATTGGTGGCTAGAGTGCTGGTCGCTGGGAGTCTTGAGAAATCTTATCTGGTCAGGCCTGAGACCGGTTCCTCAGTACCGGAGGGGGGAAGACAGCTGTACCCTTGTCGACGGGGTTGCAAGGCCCCATTATTCCAGCAAGATTCTATAAATGTGCATCGGACGATTGGCTGGCTAACGTAATTAGTTATCAAAAGTCATATACGCAGAATATATGACGGCCCTTCCCTATAACTATAACCCCCACGTTCAAGGAGCATGCTCTCACTGATACTGGCCAGCTCTGTCTCCCATCACTCATTACAGTCAACTCCCTCTCTCTTCCTCCTTCTCGGTCCATCAACTTGGGCTGCAGTCACTCGGTGTGACAGACAAGCAAGAGGAAAAGGAGAAGAAAAGGAAAAAGAAACCAAAAAAAGGCCCTTGGTGCTGGCTACCGGAAGACAGGGGCCCCAAGTCCGTTGCCCGCCTGCTTGCTCCCTTGCAGGAATTTATGCAGACTTCCATTGATCAATCAAAACAAGAGGATCCTCCCCGTAAAAAAAGAATGTACGGAGTATCTGCGTGTGTGTGTGAGTGTGTGTGAGTGTGCGAGTCTGCCATCTCTCTCTCTCTGTGTGTGTATGTCAGTTGTCACTCTTTCCTGGTAACTTTCTTTTTGGATCCTCGCCTGCCAGGCCGTGTCACACAGCGAGTCGTCTGCTGGTACCCGTGTAGGCCTGCAGAAGCGGCAGAGATGTACTCTGTAGACATGATTGATACCGTGGCGCCGTAGATTCATCGCAACTCCGGCGGGCCTGTATGTTCTGGAATTCGTCTCGTTGGCCCTGTGTCATGTCTCCCCCCGTCTGTTTGTCAATCGACGCCGGCTCCTTTGACCTGCTGCGAGGCCCTGCCAGACTCCCCACCCGCCTAACGCTCCGCCAGCACTACTAGCAGCAGTGTCTCTCTCTCCCTCCTTCTCCTCCTCCTCCTTTTTTTTTTTCAGTTCTTTCTTTTTTTTTTTTTTTCGTGCTGCTGCTTGGTGTTCTAGTTTCTATGCCCCAACCCGCTAAATCGGCTATAACTTTTTGTGTCCCTGGCTTATTTCTTTTGCTTTTTGTTTCCCGGGCCCTCTTGTATAGAGCATTATGCGTTTCTTTTCGTTAACTAGCGGGTTACAGCATCGTGTCGTAAGCAGGCTCAGCTGTTTGGTTCATTTCCCGATCATCGTCCCATATGCTGCATAGTTACATGGCCAGAAACCCAATCCCCGTCCGTAGCGTCTGTTCAAGTCTATAAATCACCCTTGGGTGCCGGCCCTGGTGCTCGAATCAGTGTCTGTCTCCGTCTACCAGAGTCTTCCTTGTACTGCAGTTCCTCACTGTCGAGTGTCCTTTGTGCCCTTGTCCTTGTCCGCGCCTTGCTTGACCTGATCCCCGCGCTGTCACGACGGAAAACTCGCTGGCCCAGAGTGTGTCTCGAGCGATCCTGCTGCCAGCCAGAGAGAAGGAAGAGAAAATAAAAGACTAGAAGAACGCGCAGACCAGACGGCCTCTCCCCCTTTTTCCTCGTTACTTGTCGTTGCGAAGTTGCCGTGCGCATGGGGGGCCTTGTCTTCCCTCAGGCCGTGAAGATGATGATGGAGGCCGAGCGAGCCAATGTTTACTCTTTTTTCCCCACAGCGCGAGAAGTGCCGATGCCCTTCCACTATCAACCTCACCTCCACCAGCAGCACCTCCAGCACCAGCTCCAGCTGCACCACCAGCACAGCTTCAGCTCCGGCTCCGGCTTCAACGACAGCTTCAGCGACGGCTACAGCGCCATCCACCAGTGCCGCCCGGACCTGCTCCTGTCCCGGGTCTACCAGCCGCCGTGTAGCGAGTATCTGGCCCACCACCAGCCCATCATGGCCAACTTAGCACCGGACGAGATGGCCGAGTTCCAGAAGCTCTCCAACGAGTACGAGCCGGATCTGCAGGTGGGTGACCCGGCGTTTATTCCTATAGTTGTTACGGACATGCTAACGCCTTGTTGAAGGGCCCTCTCGTCGGCATCAAGCAAGCCAGCGTTGCGCTGAGCCAGGAGTATGCGCAGGCTGACCCCATCTATGTCGCGAAGACAGCGGTAATTCCCCTCCCTCATTGAAGTCATTGAAGCCAAGCAGTTTAACTGACGGCAAGTAATAGTCTCTGGCACAGACACACTCCCACTATCGTATCATGAAGGGAGATGGCAATTGTGGATGGAGAGGTTTGACTCACTCGTCCGGTTCAACTGCTGGGAACCACAAAACGCTAATTAATCTGTCTTGTAGCTGTGGCCTTTGGCTATTTTGAAAGCCTGTTTGCTTTGCGTGATCAGGCCAAAATCGCTCAAGAGCTAGCCCGTATCAAGAGCTTCAACGCCATGTTCGATGCTGTGGGCCAGCAAGAGCATCTGTACGAGATTTTTGTTGATGCTACAGAGGAGCTCTTGAAAAGCGTGGCTGAACAGATTGCGAACAACAACCAGGACGAGACTTTCATTGTTGACGCCTTCAACAACGAGTGGAACTCAAACGCAATCATCACGCACTTTAGGGTTGGTTTCTTAACTTTTGCTCTATATCTACACATTTATGGTTGTGCTAACTTTCCTCCAGTTGATGACGAGCGCTTGGATGCAGCTCAACCGGGAGAGATACGAAGCTTTCCTGCCCATGCCGATAGAGCAATACTGCTCGAGAACAGTCGATACCGTGAGAACCGAGATTGACGAAATCGGTCTCCAGGCCTTGGTTGACGGAGTCATCGCAGCGTCTGGTTTTGATGTTCAGATTCTCTACCTTGATCGCAGTCAGGGTGACGAAGTGAATGCACATCAACTTACGCCACAACGCACTGATTCCCTGGGGGTTATCAAACTCCTGTACAGGCCGTAAGTCCTCCACATATCTACCAGGTTTAAGATCTCCCGACTAATATTATGGATTAGTGGCCATTATGATCTTCTTTATGGCACGGCCCAGTCGCCGACTCCCGTAAATTACCAGTACTCCATGACCTGCGACTTCTCTCCTTGGTATCCTAACTCCCTCAACTTTGACCTTAACCCAGTCTTAATGGCCGTTCCCAGTCTCCCTCTAGACCCGGCAGATTCTCCTCCGCACCCAGCTCCAGCTCCGTCTCCGTACGAGTACTCCTATCCCATCAATCCTCCAGAAAATATGATACCCCATCACACAATACCTCTCCCTGAACCCGCCCCGCCTAGAGTTGCAACCATCAACCTCCCTCTCCGCTCCCCTCCTCCTCCACCAGAGGATAGGTCCTCTGAGCTACTTATCCGAATGAACCCGCTTGTTGACCCAGACATGAACTGTCTGCCATTGACCATTCCATTCAGAAAGTACGTATCCAAATCAATCGGGTACTTGTCTACTTGCTTACGTTCCTTAAGCTCGCATTTCAACCAAGCACACTTCCTCAATGCTGAGTTTCAGCCTTCCCAATGGGACCCCAGCGAGATCTACAAACGAGAAAAGAAACCCTCTAGCCGTTCCGGATCCTCCTCCGAGTAACCATCACAAAGCGATACGTTTCGGTTTTTCCCTTCAAGATAGTCATTTCGCTTTTCTTATCGAGTTTTACCTCGGTTTTCCTTGTTTTATTATTATTCCCCCTTTCAGCCAAGATTGCCGGATTATATCGTGGTATTTCGGTTCATTATTCCCCCGCCCACATGATCGATCCCCTTTTAAAGTGAAACCGTTGTTACATGCTTCCCCAGTTCCTTGTACGTTCCGTCTCTTTCCATGTTTCCTGTTAGAAATCTCTTATGTACCCTGTTTCGTGTTATATTTCTATATCCCCTTTCTCGCCGGTCTCTTATTATTCGCCGACATGGTGCAGCCCACGAACCGCCGTTCCGTTTCCATTTCACTTCGTTTCGTCCTTGGCAGGAGAGCTAGTTAGAGCCATCCTCGCATCGTTGCCTCACTTTTTCATTTCTCTATACACCCATATTATTAACTGCTAAAAAACGAAATATATCCACTTATGACATCTGACCGCGCTCCGACCATTGTAAAACAGCCTCCTCCCTCCACCCACCCGACGCTTTTCGAGAATTAGCATCGCGAAAAAGAACTCTTGTGGAAAAAGCCACGCTGACTAAGCATTATTACGGCCCCACTATGGCGGGCGGGCCTTCCCGTAAACTTTAAATCTAGCTTTTATACTGACTGCATCCTTTGGTAGCGAACGAATTGGTGTATTCTCGGGCCTAGCTTGGAGATGAAGTTGACATGCACTGAGAGACAGTTTTTTCGCTGTTCTGGGTCCCTGTCGTCCCAAGGCCATTACTCTGGCGCTGAGTGCGCGCCTTCGTATATGTAGCAAGGAATCACAACCATGCTTAATTAGTTATCCTTTCAAGCGACTGACGCTGATTATGACAGGTCAATTTTTCTCCCTTGCAACGGTTGAAACGGGTCTATCAGCCCCTTAAACCAGAGATTCCGGTTCCAGCTCCTTTAACATCATACTTTAGTACATACGCGCAGTAGCTACATATGCAACTACTTTAGTTATCGCACGCTATACTCTGCAACTCTTCGCCATCTCCGCTTTTCACTGCATGGATACCTCTCGTGACGGGCCTGGGGCATTTCCACGCCCAGTGAGCGCTCGAATTCCAATTCCACTTTTAACCCCTTGCTTAGCTTGTTTGTGAAAGAGAGAACTGCCAGTGAGCTCCCCACCAACGCTTGACGCACGCCATGCAGCAAGCTCATGTAGTAATAATAACTAGCTCCAAACCAGCTTTTACTCTCCAGGATGTCTCGGAATGTAGCTAATGATAGCTAAAATATAATGAAGATCAGGAGCTCAAATCTAACTTCTGAGATCATAACTTATATCCCATGAGACGACGCTTTGACTCCCCCTATATCGTTGCTTGTATATAGTAAACTCTTCCAACGGCTCTTCAGTTAGGGAGCAGCCAAGCAAAGCCAAGCGTCGGAGATGATGCGCCAAGTTTTGTGTGATATCGGAGGTTCAATTGAACGACAGCCAATTTTCTTTCATCCGGTCTCGAAATGGATGGAGGATATATTCTGGCCCTGTGTCACCTTCAACCGTATGCGGCCATTATGGGGGCTAGCCCATTTACCAAGTCCAACCCGCACTTAACTTAGTCATCTCCGTAATCGAGTAACTTCCGCCTCGCCAACCCCCTATTCCTCGAGAGCATGGAAAAAGTTTCAGAATTGCAAGATCCTTGCACATGCTATAGTTATAGCGCTAACGGTGCTCTGCATAGAGAACTGCTGCGAAAGGAAACAGGGATCTGATGCCGCCTACGGCGGTAGTATGTCAAGCAAGGCGAATCCTTCTTTGAACGGGGGCCCTCATGGAACTGCCTTGTATTAGGTAGTGTAAGTGTATATAAAGCCGGCTGTCCGGCCGTAGTAAGGTTCGCTCTACGAATCGCGTGACATTGGGGGTCTTTAGAGAGGGGCTAATAACGCTTCACCGGATGCTCCGCAGACGAGCCGGAAGGGAGTGGTTGTGCGATAACATCTGCGAACAAGACTTAGCGTGACTCCGTTAGTTTCTCTCTTTGCCGTGAGCCGGCTGCCGGTAGGAATATAAGCATGGAATGTTAAATAAGAATAGATAAGCATTTGGACGGTTCATGTCCGGTTCTCTTTCTCTGACAATGTGAGTTCATAGATCAGCACTAACGGGAAGACCCTTGACTGTCCCCTCCTTTAAGCCGGTGGGATTGAGATACCTCATTAATTCGAGAGATTTTGGCTCTGTTGTCGGCCGTTGCGTCATGGTTATTCTCATGATTGGACGATAGGGCTTTACATAGCAAGGCTACTAGGTAGAAGGCACTTTTTGTCATTTTCATCGTAGTAAGAAGGGCAGTAGGGAGGAGAATATAAGAATCATCTGGTAAACTTAGCTTGTAACTAGTTCAGGAGCTATGGCGCTGACCTAGAGAAATTTAGAGGTAGTTTAGCTACCTGGAGCTACTCCATTCATCTGCCCTTCTGTCACAACAGCCCAATCTCTCACCCCACCTTTTAAATCCGCAATCCTGCCTTCCTTGACGGCTACGACGACGACATTGACATCGTCATCCATAATAGATGGCCGCCGTTCCTGTTCTCCTGTGCTTCCCTGCTGCGCCTGGCCACTGCTACTAAAGACGCCAATTCCCCCTTCGTCCGCAATAAACGTATTGCTCTCCAAGTGGCGTTCTCTACACCACTTCTCTTCCTCACTGCCTACATCAAGGACTCGGGCTTCCCCGATTATGGTGGTGCTGATACTGCTCATGGCACTAGTGTTGAGGTTTAGAAGTAAGGTGGCAAGACTGGACTGCGTGGCTGCGGGAGGCGGAGACCCTTCCCGTCCGGCATCTCGGGTCCGGGTGGGAGGTCTGTGAGAAACCCAGTCATGTACCAGGAGGGAGACCCGTGGATTCGAGCGGAGATTGAGTGTCTTCTTGGATGAGGGGTTGGTGGTCATGATAATAGTCGGGGTGGGGTTGAATGGCGTGGAGGGGAGAAAGGTGTAGCTCATAAGGGAGATGTGAGGATTGAGTCCATCGCATGTTGCAAGATGTAGCTAGCATACACTGTTAGTTATCTTTCCTGTCCCCCGTCCATATGGTCGCGTGGGAGAACTTACGAATCGAGAGTTCTTGAGGCAAGAGACCACTTCCTGCGGCAGGCATGTAGCGAAGTGAGGGTGCGTGGTGGTGGCCGAGGCCTCATAGCTCAACGGGGGGTGCTGTAGGCTCGTCATCTTGCTGTCAGGATACACAAAACAGCTTCCATCAACCTCTTGACTGTCTGTCTCTAACAGTGTCTTTTCCGCTGTTTGTTGCTGTATTAAACTTGCGCCGCCTTGTTTGATAGGTATTATTTATTATTATTACTTTTGCTGCGCCCACGAGTGGACGATCCCGGCTGCTGACTAAGCTTAAACGGAATAACATATTTTCCGAGTTCCTATGACGTAACCACCAGTCTAGCCTAAAAAGGACTAGCGTCTGGGGTCCTCCCGCTTTTTATCACGTGACTCTACTTTGTTTTTCCTCTTTTCTTGTTTTCTTTTTCAACTTCGGCAAACTTCGTCAACTTCCAACGTCAACTTCAACTCCATCCACTTCGCATCCCCGTCTTCTGCGGTTTTTCTCGCGCGTTCCGACAGCTATCTGAGGGCCAATCCACTGTCTTTCCTTTGTCTTTCCAGGGAGCTGTGCCTTCCCTTTGTCTGTACGCTCTTATCGGTCGAGCGGCTTGCTGCATGCTCCCCGTATACATAGTTACTTATCCCTGCCTGACCGACCACCTTGCCCTGAGCCTGAGCCTGAACCTGAGCTAGCTTCCCCTCTTTCCATACAGCTGCGTGCAATTTCAAAGCCTTGCTTCCCTTTCGACTTCTTCACTTTCCCTCAGCCCTTTTCTCGAAACACATCTGCGGAGACCTTCAGTTGTCCACCTTTCGTTCTTGTACCTGTCCCGCAACCGCTCCATCTCAAGCTCCAGCTCGAAACAACACTCTGCCTGTCCGGTTCCTCTTCTACCTCTCACGAACCGCCATCTTCGCTCGCGTGTCGTCCTGTCATCATGTTGGCGTCGCGTCTGCTTCGATCCGGCACCTCTCCCTCTCTTCTTCGTCCGTTCAGCACCTCATGTACCCGGTTGCGTGCCCCTTCCATCCGAGACATTACCCCAGACAATGCCTCATCGTTTAACACCCGTCAGAAGGAGTTCCGTGATAATCTAGAAGCTGCTCGGAAAAGAAAAGCAGAGCAAGACAGTCAGTCGCTTGATGCTTCTGCCCCTGTTTCTCCTTCCTCCTCCTCCTCCTCTTCTTCCTCTGCCCAAGCCCCTCCCACTGCTCCAGATGCGAGCAATGCGAGCGGACCTTCCACTGTTGTTGATGCTGCGTCCTCTCTGGACCGCCAGGCATTAGGCTCACTATCAACCCACCGCATTGTAGGAGAACGGCAACAGGCAGAGAATAACAGCACTCCGGGCCGTGGCCGTCTTTCCAGTCTCATTTACGGAACTAAAGAAGGTCAACAGTTAGACAAGGATATCGAGCGGTCCTTCTCCGAAGTCTTGGCACGAGGGAAATATGTCCATTCGATTGTCTTTCACGAGGTCAAGCCGGACAAGGTCGACGAGTATGTAGGGCTGGTGGGTGAATGGTATCCCAAGATGGCCGGGATGGAACAGAACAGGGTCAACCTCGTCGGCAGTTGGCGTACCCAAGTCGGAGATAATGACACTTTCGGTATCTAGCACCACCCTTTAAGGCCCCCTGCACCTTGAAAAATTGCAATTGCTAACTGGCGTCTTAGTCCACATTTGGGAGTACCAGAGATACACCGGATATCACGCATCTCTTCATGAGATTGGTCAGCAACCCGGTTTCGTTGAGTTTGATCGTAAACTCAAGTCCCTAATCAAGAGTAAGAAGACTTCTCTCATGCAAGAGTTCTCCTTCTGGCCTACTACGCCTCCGCGCCGGCTTGGAGGTGTCTTCGAGCTTCGATCATACACCCTGCATCCGGGTAACCTTCTAGAGTGGGAGAGCCACTGGAGACGAGGTCTAGCTGCCAGACGACAGATCATGGAAGGAGTCGGTGCATGGTTCGTGCAGATTGGCGACCTCAACACCGTCCACCATCTGTGGCAATTTGCAGACCTGGAAGAACGAAAGAAGAGACGTGAACAGTCGTGGGAACTCGAGGGCTGGGCTGACACGGTACACAAGACTGTTCCATTGATCCAGACGATGAAGAGCAGGATTCTTATCCCAATGCCATGGAGCCCTGTCGGTTAATTCGGCCGTTCGCTGTCTAAACTGCTAGAGAAATTCTACATGATGTATTTGCTCTTCCGTATGGATAGGAAGGGGAATCAAGAATGAACGTCGATTCGTGGTATCTTCCCGGGAAGGAGATGGATGGAAACCATACAAGCCGAGAGGCATCCTGAGGGAGTTTATGCCCTTCATCGAACACTGCAGCCAGAGGCAGATGGCTGGGATAGTAGTACACCGAGTTCTGGGTCCTTCTTTTTTTTAATACATGTATATCTTAGCATCTTGCCACCACTGAAGCTCATTTCAGAATATATATCAGTATCAAACCAGCCCAGAATCCTCGTTATATCCTCGCCCTCCCGTCTTTCTAGTCCATCCCGATCGTGTGATCTGATAACTTTCCCGCCGGCGCTCGGTCCCTGCCAAGCCGATCCCGGTCTTGGTAGGTCAACACAAAAAACGTCACTTTTTTTTCCTTCTTTTTTCCTTCTTTTTTCCGTCGCTTCAAGAACGACCAAAGAGAGGCCAAGTGATGAAGAAGCAATCAAGCAGCGCGTGGCTTTCGTGCATTCACTAGGCTTTTCCTTTCTTTCTTTTGTCGCCTGATCGCTGTGGCTGACTAGAATAGCCCGTCTACCTTGTTTATATACTCGGGCAATCCCTGAGCAAGGGTCTTCATATACACAACCACCCCCGGTTCCCGCCTCCCTTTGCGAAATTGGACATAATATCGACGGCTTTTTCTTGGAAACGGGCCCTTTAACATCTCCGTTGTTGTCTTTGATAGCTACTGACTCTGTTGCCTAAATTTGCCTACTTGTTCTTCTCTGTTATTACTTTTAATACACAGTCGAGGAGACCCAAAGACCAAAGATGACCTATATACGAGCGGAGGCCCTCGATGGCCTGAAACAATACAAATACGCTTCTGTTGATAAGTCGTTGACCTCGAAATACATTCTGAAGCCCTTTTATACGAACTATGTTATTAATCTCTTCCCTATGTCGATGGCGTAAGTCAATAGCTTCTCTTCGTTGCAATTGATGAGAAATAATACTGACAATGTTACAGACCGAATCTTGTAAGCAAGCTCTATGAAAGTAACTACAAGCTAGAGGTATACTTACTGGAATATCATAGATCACACTGACAGGTTTCTCATTCGTCGTTGTGAATTTCTTAACTCTACTGTGGTACAACCCTACTCTGGACAAGGATTGTCCTCCCTGGGTATACCTCAGCTGGGCCGTGGGGCTCTTCTTATACCAGACTTTCGACGCTGTTGATGGGACTCAAGCGTATGTCATACTATTCTCAATCAGGGCAGAGTACCTTGCTAACTGATCCGATAGTCGACGGACAAAACAGAGCGGGCCTTTGGGAGAATTGTTCGATCATGGTAAGCTAGGCCGAGTTGTAGGAAACACAGGCTTATACTAACCGCTGTATAGGTGTTGATGCTTGCAACACTGGCCTTGGAGTCCTTATATTTGCCGGTGCAGTGAACCTGGGACAGAGTTGGGCAACTGTTCTCACTCTTTTCGGCGGTGAGTTGTACCCAGCCGACCTATATAATTAACCAGTCTAACATAACGCCAGCGGTCTTCACGTTCTACGTCCAAACATGGGAGGAATACCATACCCATGTCCTCACACTTGGTATTGTCTCCGGCCCTGTGGAAGGTATCCTGTCGCTCTGCTTCGTTTTCCTTACCACTGCTCTCCTTGGAGGGGGAAGCTTCTGGCACCGACCAATGCTGCCAACTCTAGGAATCCCACACTTCTCAATACTTTCGGATTCCGCTTACAATCTCCCGTTCACTACTTGGTGGTTGATCTACGGCGGATTTGTTCTACTCTTCAGCACCGTGACCAGTATCATGAACGTTCTGAAAGTTGTTGAGAAACGCATCGTTGACCGCCGACTAGATCCACAGGCCTATATGACCAAGAAGGCAGTTGGTGGTAACAGGGACAGTGGCGAAGACAGTAAATATACTCCGCTTTACGGCTTGTTGCCTGCAATTTTACCATGGACGTTACTAGTACCGTACCTATACATGCATCCGGAAATACTGCAAAACCACCTCGTCCCCGTCATCCTATTCACTGGTATCCTTAACGCCTACTCGGTCGGACAGATGATTGTCGCTCACCTTGTTAAGCTTGATTTCCCATACCACAACGTGCTCAACCTTCCTCTTGCCGTGGGTGTTATCGACGGTTTGATTCCGAGACTTGGGTTATTAGAGAAGAGCTTCATAGGCTCTGGGCAGAACCAAGTTGCCTTCGTCTTTGCGTGTCTGGGCCTTGCAGTTGGTATATATGGAAGTTTTGTGGTGAGTTTACTTACATTTGATGAATACTCTGCGGCTTATTGTTAACCACTGTATATCTAGTTCGATGTGATTACCAGCATATGCGATTATCTGGATATCTGGTGTCTGACCATCAAGTACCCCTGCGTCGACACGGATCCCCTGAAAGCCAAAAATCCTTAGGAGGCCAGGACTCTCGGCAGGAACGCAATGCATCCGTTAACGAAGGGAGGTTCACTGATCAATTTTATGCATCTACTAGCTTATATTTGAAAGAAGAGCTGCTTCATACCAAGATATAGCGTGTCTTCAGAATAGAATATAAATGTTACTTCTATGTAGTGGTAACTTCATAATGAAGATTAGTTATACAAATGAAATGTCTTACTAGTTAATACCAATAAAAATACAGAGTGAGTAGTTACCAAGCCGGATCTGTCCTATATCAACTCTCTCGTCTATGTA